AGTCCTGCCAGTGCCCCTCACTCCCCACCCCCATCCCCTGCCAGCCCAGGCTGGTCACTCACTCGGGGAAGCAGAGAGCAGCACTGAGCACCCACTCCGAGCTGATGAGGGTCCCGCCGCAGACGTGACGATTCTCATACTGCAGACTGACCTGCCAGGGCCAGGCTCCCACCGGGGCGTCCTCCCCCCCGACAATCCGGCTCTGGGGCCCCCCGTGGCCACATGCTGTGGTCAGAGAGAGAGAGAACAGTGCCAGGTGGGAGGAGACACAGCGCCCCCTGGTGCTGGGGGCTGGAGCTGGGCCCCCCTTGGCCACATGCTGAGGTCAGAGAGAGAACAGTGCCAGGTGGGAGGAGACACAGCGCCCCCTGGTGCTGGGGGCTGGAGCTGCAATGGAGCCTCCTGTGGGGTTCTTGGTGCTATATAGCGCCCCCTAGTGCTGCCCTAGGGCACTGGGTCAGCCCTGCCTGCCAGGGGAGAGAGCCCCCTGCTGGACCCTGCCCTGCTCCCTGCCCCACAACGCCCCCTAGCACCACCCTGGGGCACTGGGCCAGCCCTGCCTACTAGGGGAGAGCACCCCTTGCTGAGCCTGCCCCACAGCGCCCCCCAGTGCGATCCCCCACCCCGCTAATAAACACCGATAGAGCCCCCTGCTGGACCCTGCCCTGCTCCCTGCCCCACAACGCCCCCTAGCACCACCCTGGGGCACTGGACCAGCCCTGCCTGCCCGGGGAGAGCGCCCCCTGTTGAGCCTTGCCCTGCTCCCTGCCCCACAGCGCCCCCTAGCGCCACCCTGGGGCATTGGGCCAGCCCTGCCTACTAGGGGAGAGCACCCCTGGCAAGTACAAGGTTAGGGACACCAAGGGTGCGATCCCCCACCCCGCTAATAAACACCGATGGATCTCCCCTCCATGGATTTACCAAACTCTTTTTTTAACCTGATTATAATTTTGGCCTTTAAACATCCCCTGGCAAGGAGTTCCACAGGGTAACCACATCCTTCCTTTGGTTTGTGGTAAATCTGCTGCCTATTCATTTCCTCGGGTGAGCCCTGGTGTTTGTGGTTTGGTGGGTCACCACTAGTTCCCTCTCTGCAGTCTGAAAACTGACCGTTTGTTTGGGCCCTTTGTTTCCGCAGTGGGGACACGCTAGTCGGGAGTTACGAAGTTGATGTGTTACTTGGACAGCTTCCCACTGCAGCCATGGCCCTAGGGGCCTGACAATTCCTCCCTCTCCGCTAGCTGCAAGCACTTAGGTTTACCAAGCCTCCAGGGCCTATTTAACCAGATCGGTAGGTGCAGAGGTGACGTGATGTCCCGCCGGGGTTTCCTACCTGTCTGGATTCCATTGTCCGGGGCAGCTGAGGGAGCCAGGTGCCGGCGTCGCAGAGGGTGCAAAGTGGGGGAACCGGTTTGAGAAACGAGCAGGAATCGGGCAGCGAAGGAAAGAAGGAAAGAAAAGCCCTCACTAAAGTACACAGTCCAAAGAGCACAGCTCTCCGCACGCCGGGTTCTCGCCTCAGCTACGGGCAGGCTTGTCTAGTGGTTAGAGGGGGGAGAGAGCCAGGACTCCTGGGTCTCCCCATTGGTTCTGTGTCTTCCTCCCCCTGCCCAGCTCACACACAGCACACTGCTGGGGGGGATCCCTCTGCCCCTGAGAGCTTGCTATCCACCTCCCTGCTGAGGTCGCGTCCCAGGGTGCTCGCAAGATTTGGAGCAATTCAAGAGCCCAAAGGTGCATTTTCAGGGCTGGCTCAGAGGGGGGGATGAGAGAGGCAGTCTGGGGCTGAGAATGAGAACTGAACCCGAGCGCCCTGGCTCCCAGCCCCCCTGCTCCAACCACTGGCCTCCACTGCCCTTCCATAGGAACCAGGAGTCCCCATCACCCGACAGCATGGGCAGCAAGAGAAGGGTGGTTGGTGAGGTGCAGGGAGGTCCCATGACCCAGCTCCTCCAGCTCAGCTTGCATGGGGGACTAGGTGGGGGTCAGAGAGCTGCCCCAGTGACCCCACTGTGCGGCGCCAGCTGTCTGCCTGGGCAGGGAATGTCGCACAGCCGGTCCTCCCCTTGTCTGCCTCTTCTCAGCCCCCCAGGGAAACCTCCCCTCTCCTGCCTCTTCTCAGCCCCCCAGGGAAACCTCCCCTCTCCTGCCTCTTCTCAGCCTCCCAGGGAAACTCATTCTTCTCCTCCAGCCCCACCCTGACGTCAGAACAGGAGACTGCTGTGTCCTCAAATGACCTGGGAGCTTTGCAAGAGCCTTATTGGCAGGAGGGATGGCCAAGTTCTGGTGTGTGCGTGCGGGTGTGCTGAGTGTGTTTTTGGGGGGGTCCCTTGTGGTGTGTTTGTGGTGTCAGTGGCAAAGGACAGCACAGTCCCAAAGAGTTTCACAGTATTCTGGAGGGTCGGTATTATGTGTTGCGCTGGGTAATGAGAGGTAGATCCATCCCAGACAGATAGACACAATAGAGACAGATGGTGATGGCACAGACCGACACCTATAGACACAATCTAGACAGACAGACAGACACAATAGAGACAGATGGTGATGGCGCAGACACCTATAGACACAATCTAGACAGACAGACAGACACAACAGAGACAGATGGTGACGGGGCAGACGGACACAGTTTATAGACAGTCTAAACAGACAGACACAAAGCAGACACATGGTCAGACTCAACCCAAGAGGAGAGAGACAGTGTAGACAGGCAGACACAATCTACACAGATGAACAGATGCAATCTGGACAGATGGCATGTAGACTGTAGGCAGCTGGATACAGCTCAGACAGACAGGCAGACAGATTGACTGACAGACAGACACATCTTTTGTTACTAGAATACTCTCCATTATTGTAGGACCGACGACACCCAAAGGCAGGCCAGGAACACTTTGTGCCGGGTGCTGCCCAGGCTCAAGCTGGGATCGGGCCCCAGGGTGCCAGGTGCTGCTCAGACCCAAAGAGGGAGCCAGTCCCTGTCCCAAAAGGCTCACAGTCTAAACAGACACAGGTCGGTTTATTCTCTCCCTTTTACATCTAGGGAAACTGAGGCTGAGAGAGAGACCCCAGGACACACTCAAAGTCACACAGAGTCTATGGCAGTGACAGGGGCAGAATCCAGGTATCCTGGTTCCTGGCCACCCTGGTGAGCTAACCACTAGTCCCCACTGCCCTCCCGTAGGACCCAGGCATCCTAGCTCCCAGCCTTCACTCACCTTGCAGGATGGGCAGCAGGAGAAGGGTGGTTATTGTGGTGCAGGGAGCTCCCATGACCAAGAGCTGCTCTCAGCTCGGCTTCCACAAGAGACTAGGGGAGTGCGAGCTGCCCCAGTGACCCCACTGCCCGGCGCCGTCTGTCTGCCTGGGCGGGGAATGTCGCACAGCCGGTCCTCCCCTCGCCCGCCTCTTCTCAGCCTTCCAGGGAAACCTCCCCTCGCCCGCCTCTTCTCAGCCTCCCAGGGAAACCTCCTGTCACCCGCCTCTTCTCAGCCCCCCAGGGAAACCCCCTTTCCCCCGCCTCTTCCCAGTCCCAGGGAAACCTCCTGTCACCCGCCTCTTCTCAGCCTCCCAGGGAAACCTCCTGTCACCCGCCTCTTCTCAGCCTCCCAGGGAAACCTCCTGTCACCCGCCTCTTCTCAGCCTCCCAGGGAAACCTCCTGTCACCCGCCTCTTCTCAGCCTCCCAGAGAAACTCCTTTTTGGGTCTCCATCCCCTCCATGTTATTCACTCTCCCCATCCCCAGCCTGCCCCAGCCCATCTGCAGGGGCCCCTCAACCCTTCCCCAGATCCCATGTGGCTGAGAACAGCCCCACTGCTACATGGGGCCACCAGCCTATGTGGAATGGGTGCTGTGTGTGTCTCTCTGTACGTGAGTCTGTGTGTGTGTGTCAGTGTGTGTGTGTATGTGTGTCAGTGTGTGTGTGTGAGTGTTTGCATGTGTGTTTCTGTGTGTGTGTGCGTACGTGTATGTGTCTGTGTGTGCGCATGTCGAGTGTTTCTGCAGTTAAGCTGCAGGGTTTCTATGTCTATAGGTAGACTCTGTGCTGTCTGCATCTCTCTGTGTGTAGTTAAACTTGGGGAGAGAGGGGCTTTGGGTAAATAGCCCAGGACAGACTAGTCCAAGGAAATTCAAGGCCTCCATGGGGTTATTTATTTTGTATCATTCTGGGTACTGAGACATGGACCCGTCTGAGACAGACAGACAGACACAACAGAGACAGATGGTGCGGATAGAGACAGACACAAAATATAGACACAATCTAAACCGATGGGCAGCCGCAGGAGGGATGGATGGATGGTTGGAGAAAGAGAGACACAGCGGAGACAGACTGGCAGGCACTATGCAGACAGACAGACAGACAGATGGGATCTGGACAGACAGGCATGTAGAATCTAGGCAGCTGGATGCAACTCAGATAGGCAGATGGACAGGCGGGGAGACAGACAGACACATCTTTTGTTACTTGAATCCTCTCCATTATTGTAGGACCGATGACACCCAAAGGCAGGCCAGGAACACTTTGTGCCGGGTGCTGCCCAATGTCCAGCTGGGATTGGGCCCCGGGGTGCTGCCTATATGCACAGTGGGAGCCAGTCCCTGTCCCAATAGGTCGGTTTATTCTCCCCCTTTTACATCTAAGGAAACTGAGGCTGAGAGAGACACTCTGGGACATGCTCAAGGTGAAACAGGGAGTCTATGGCAGTGACAGGGAAAAAAAATCAGGCATCCTGGTTCCTGGCCACCCTGGTGAGCTAACCACTAGTCCCCACTGCCCTCCCGTAGGACCCAGGCATCCTAGCTCCCAGCCTTCACTCACCTTGCAGGATGGGCAGCAGGAGAAGGGTGGTTATTGTGGTGCAGGGAGCTCCCATGACCAAGAGCTGCTCTCAGCTCGGCTTCCACAAGAGACTAGGGGAGTGCGAGCTGCCCCAGTGACCCCACTGCCCGGCGCCGTCTGTCTGCCTGGGCGGGGAATGTCGCACAGCCGGTCCTCCCCTCGCCCGCCTCTTCTCAGCCTCCCAGGGAAACCTTCCCTCGCCTGTTGACTCATATTTAGATTGTGGTCCTCTTTGTCCCCTAGGTCCCTTTCTGCAGGACTCCTTCCTAGACAGTCACTTCCCTTTCACTACAGTTTTTCCCGGAAAAACTGTTCTGCGTCCTGGGAACACATTGGGTCTTCTCCTTTTCTTTTGCAGAAGAGCAAACGCGCTCTTTCGGAAGCCCCTGTATTCCTTCTTCCGCGAGGAATACGGGGGCTTCCGAAAGACGGCTTTTTCCTGACATTTGGCCCAGTCTAGATGGGCCAAATGTCAGAAAAGCCTCTGTCGACGAGAGAATCAGAAAAAGCTACGCAAAATGCAGAGTGCATTTTGTGTAGCTTTTTGCAGAAAAAAGATGTCGTCTAGCCATATCCTGTGTATATGACCCGGATTGGTCCTTCCTAAGTGGAGCACTTTGCATTTGTCCTTATTCAACTTCATCCCGGTGGCCTCCGACCATTTCTCCAGTGTGTCCAGATCAGTTTGAATTACGACCTGTCCTCCAGAGCACGCCCAGCCCCTCCCAGCTTAGGATCATCTGCAAACTTAATAAGCGTGCTCTCTATGCCAGTATCGAAATCATTGATGACGATACTGCACAGAACCGGCCCCAAAACAGACCCCTGCGGAACCCCACTTGTTCCAGCAGGATTGCGAACCGTTAATAACTCCTCTCTGGGGGTACGTCTACACTAGCTCGTTAATTCAAGCTAGGTAGGCAAATCAGGCAATTGGAGTTGCAAACGAAGCCTGGAATTTAAATATCCCAGGCTTTATTTGCATGTTCCCGTCCGGACGCCATTTTGAAATCCCACATAGTTCGAACTGACTGCCCGCAGCTACACGCGGCAGTCAGAAGTTAATCCGAACTAAGGACTTAGTTTGGATTAACTGTTACTCCTCGTGGAATGAGGTGTAACAGTTAATCCAAACTAAGGACTTCGTTCGGATTAACTTTAAACTGCCATGTGTAGCCACAGGCAGTTAGTTCGAACTAAGAGGGATTTAAAAATGGCGGCGCCAGTTATGCACCCGCCTTATAGTAGCCGCATCTAGGTTGTATTGTCCTAGTTTATTATAAGAAGGTCATGCAAGACCATATCCAATGCTTTGCTAAAACCGAGGGAGCCCACGTCCACCGCTTCCCCCTTTGCCACGAGGCTTGTGAGCCTGCCAAGGAGAGCGATGGGGGTGGCTTGACGTGAGTGGCATCGCATTATTTCGTGTCGTTGTGAGCAATGAGCGATAGACCCGCCCTAGGCAGTAAGTGACAGATGGTGACTGTGGAGACAAACACAATACACAGCAGGGGTGGCCAATCATTTCTGATGGGGGGGGGGCACGCCAAGATTTTGGAAAGTGGTGGAGGGCCGCACTCTTCCAGGATATGAATGGAGGAGATGCGGGGTGTGGGGTGGAGGTTGGGTGCAGAAGGGAGGTTGGGGGAAGGGACTGGGGTGCAGGAGGGAGACTGGGGTCTGGGAGGGAGTTGGGATGAAGCAGGCGGTTGTGACCTAGGGCAGGGGACTGGCGGGGGGGGGGGTGTGGAGTGG